GGTGGTGGCTGTTGACTCGGCAGCGTGGATGCGCGCGCTTCGCAAATAAATTGAGAATGCGCGCGCGCGTGCGCGATTGTGTTTGCGTTGGCTCCTGTGTGTAAATAAACATCGCCGCTGGGGAGACAAAGGCGGCCCGGGCGTGCTGCGGGCGAGCCGCCCCTTGGTGTGCCATGCCGGCCTTCGTTCGGTGCTCACCAACAGCACTTGCCCCCGACAGTCTCTGTCACAGGCCGTCTAGAAACGAGAAGGTGATCTTTGTGCGCCGCGGGGAGCGGCATCGCAGCGGTCGGCTCACCGCGCTGCGAACCCGGCCACCCGAGTTCGACTCCCGCTCACGGCCATCACCGGTGACGATTGTCCGAGCCGGTCCTGGGCCTTCCCCTTGGCCGAGGGGGTGGCTGAGGGGTGCCCAGAGCGAGCTGTGTCGATATTTACAGTCCATCGCTCGCCACTGATGTTAGCCGTGGGCGGGAATCGAACTCGGGTGGCCAGGTTCGCAGTGCACAACGCAGCAAGACCGCGGTGGTAGTGGTGGTGGTTGGTTGTGGTGGTGGTGGTAGTGGTGGTGGTTGTGGTAGTAGTGGTGGTTGGTTGTGGTGGTGGTTGTGGTGGTGGTTGGTTGTGGTGGTGGTGGTTGGTTGTGGTGGTGGTGGTTGTGGTGGTTGGTTGTGGTGGTGGTGGTGGTTGTGGTGGTGGTAGTTGTGGTGGTGGTGGTGGTTGTGGTGGTTGGTTGTGGTGGTGGTGGTTGTGGTGGTTGGTGGTGGTTGTGGTGGTGGTGGTTGTGGTGGTTGGTTGTGGTGGTGGTTGTGGTGGTGGTAGTGGTGGTTGTGGTGGTTGGTTGTGGTGGTGGTTGTGGTGGTGGTTGTGGTGGTGGTAGTGGTGGTTGTGGTGGTGGTGGTAGTGGTGGTTGTGGTGGTGGTTGTGGTGGTTGGTTGTGGTGGTGGTGGTTGTGGTGGTGGTTGTGGTGGTTGTGGTGGTGGTGGTTGGTTGTGGTGGTGGTGGTTATGGTGGTGGTTGTGGTGGTGGTGGTTGGTTGTGGTGGTTGTGGTGGTGGTAGTTGTGGTGGTTGGTTGTGGTGGTGGTTGTGGTGGTTGGTTGTGGTGGTGGTTGTGGTGGTTGGTTGTGGTGGTTGTGGTGGTAGTGGTGGTTGTGGTGGTTGGTTGTGGTGGTGGTTGTGGTGGTTGGTTGTGGTGGTTGTGGTGGTAGTGGTGGTTGTGGTGGTTGGTTGTGGTGGTTGGTTGTGGTGGTGGTAGTTGTGGTGGTTGGTTGTGGTGGTGGTGGTTGTGGTGGTGGTTGCTGTGTACGACGCCTCGAGTCATTCATGACGGCGGCGAGAGGCCGATGCAGCAGGAACTAATTGCGTGCTTCCAGTTATTGATCTGTTACATTGGGCGAGATGTTTGGGGGGGCGGGGGGCCGGGGGGCAGGGCAGCTCCGAGTGTCTCGGTGTGTCTGTCTGTGTGGCTGCGTCCGTGCCTGGGGAGCGGTGGGTGTAGTGGTTAGCGCTACGCTGCGCGACAATCCCGGCGATCCGGGTTCGATTCCCGCTCACGGCCAACAGCAGTGACGATTTTTTGAACCGGTCCTGCGCCTCCCTCTAGGTCGACTCAGCCTAAAATGAGTACCTGGGGCGATGTGTAAACATCGCCACTAGGGAGACAAAGACGGCCGGGCGTGGTGCTGGCCACCCACCCCCTCGTGTGCCGTGGCGGCCTTCATAGGTGCTACTCGCTAACAGCACTTGCCCCTACAGTCTGTTAAGGCTATAGGGGGATCTTTGTCTTTGTTCTGTGTCTCTCTCGGAGTGTCTATCCGAGTGCGACTGTTATGAGTCTTAGGTCACACTCGAACGCTAAGTGGGGCACAATCAAATATGAGACGGAGGCGGCGAGGAGGGGGGATATTCGTCCTCACACTCACCACCATCACCACCACCACCACCATCATCACCACCATCACCACCACCACCATCACCACCACTACCACCACCACCACCATCATCATCACCAATACCACCACCACCACCATCATCATCATCACCACCACCATCATCATCATCATCACCACCACCACCATCACCACCACCACCACCATCAACACCATCATCACCACCATCACCACCACCACCATCCCCACCACCATCATCATCACCACCATCACCACCATCACCATCACCACCACCATCATCACCACTACCATCACCACCACCACCATCATCATCACAACCACCACCACCACCACCATCACCACCACCATCACCATCACCACCACCACCATCACCACCATCACCACCACCACCATCACTATCATCACCATCACCACCATCACCACCATCACCATCATCACCACCATCATCACTATCATCACCACCATCATCACCACTACCACCACCACCATCACCACCATCATCACTATCATCACCACCATCATCACCACCACCACTACCACCACCACCATCACCACCATCATCACTATCATCACCATCACAACCACTTCCCCTCCTTGCACTCCACAACTTCCTCATTACCCTCTTCATCATCACCACTACCCCCCTCTTCATCATCACCACTACCCCCCTCTTCATCATCACCACTACCCCCCTCTTCATCATCACCACTACCCCCCTCTTTATCATCACCACTACCCCCTCTTCATCATCACCACTACCCCCCTCTTCATCATCACCACTACCCCCCTCTTCATCATCACCACTACCCCCCTCTTCATCATCACCACTACCCCGCTCTTCATCATCACCACTACCCCCCTCTTCATCATCACCACTACCCCCCTCTTCATAATCACCACTACCCCCCTCTTCATCATCGCCACTACCCCCCTCTTCATCATCACCACTCCCCCATAATCATCATTACTGCGTTGTGCTAAATCACACACCTCTTCCAACATAATCCTCACCAAGCCGAAATCACGAATCTCTCTCCTCATCCTCCTTCACATCACTCCAAACACTTCGCACTGGCACCATCTCGTCCGAATTCCACTCCCCCACGAATCCCGAACCAAGCTCCCACGTACTCCCGCGATAGGAATGTGGAATGCCCCCCACTGGCTGAAGACCGCTGAGCTCGGTTATAGGGGGGGGGGCAGTGGGGAGACCTGAGCCCCCCTCCCCACAGCTCACCAGGGACGTGCGGTCAGTGGAGGCAGGGGAGGCAGAGCCTCCCCTGTCATACTCCCAATGAAAATAGCTGTTACGAAAAGTAAAAAAATAATAATAATAAAATAAAATAAATATTAAGAGTTTCCACTGATCTGTGTTATAAATGTCATTTCTGTACGATTCCAATCATTTTTTATAGTCAAAATCGCCAAATTTGCGGAGCTCCGCTGCAAATACAGGAAGAGATGAGAGGCGAGGCAGCGACGCGCTCAGCCTCCCCTCTGATTGCGCAACCCCTCAGTAACTGGATGGAGCGCGGGCAATAAGCGCGTGCCTGTTACTATCTCAGTGTGTCACCAATGTAATGTTTGTAGACCCCTTCATTTCATGTCCTCGCCTTCCATACTCCAGGTAAGTTATTTCACGTACGTGCATAAAAATATTCAGGCTCGCTGGTCTCGTCGTAAAACTGCAAGGTAAAAGCACCAGGGGAGGCAGCTATTACATCTGCCTCACTGAAGGAGGACGTGTCTAACACGCCCCCCTCAGTGAGACCACGCCCCCCTCCGTGAGGCCACGCCCCCCCTCAGTGTGTGAATCTGGCCCTGACACTAGCCAGTGCCTCCCCAGCCATTGACCTCACCGCACGTCACTGCAGCTCACAGCTCGATTGGAGGCGACGCGTACGGAGAGAGATCGTTCAGTCAATGCCCACGTCTTGCCGGGGAAAACTGCTGCTGCCGGTGAGGATTCTCAAGTTGCGTTTTGTTGAACCGGGCGAGAACTCTATAGGGAGACTCCAGGCTGTTTGTTATTTATACACGAGGACGTGGGTTCGATTTCGACACTGACGCCTGCTGTAGATTTTGAGTCTGCGCGTCTCTCTCCGTCTCTCCACGTGGTCGCGTGGATTCCTTCTCGGGGTCCTCCTCCGGGTTTTCCCCTCCACGTTTAGAATCAGCGTCACGCGCTTAGAGTCAATTTCCAGGCGACAAGCCGCGGCGTTGAACTATCCACTTGCGATTGCCACGTCGCTTCTGAAAACGAGCCACACGGCTCAATGGGCCCTTACCGGGTACAATAAAAACAATTGTCAAAATGTCTGTTTGCCCTTTGGTTCCTTCGGCAAAGTCAGGTAGATAGAATTATTAATTTTCTACCTACGTGACTTTACCGAAAGAACCAAAGAGTATGGATTCCTGCCGTCACGAAAGCTTCAAATCAAGAATGTATGTATATTGACTTTCTTTTGCACCATACGGGGCCAGCCGTGCTGAATCGGAAGCTGGAATGGAGTGGACCTGGGTCAGCGGAAAAAAAATAAAAAATAAAACGATTGACACAAAAATAAAAAGCAATGAAGCAAAGAGAAATCGTTTACAAAAACAATGACGACTCATGTCACGTGAGACATCGAGGATATGACACGAACGTAAACCCATGTTATCGATCATCAGCATCACCGGAGAACCATCAAGCACACTCGGCGAGACTAAATACTCCTCCGATTCGTTATGAATGCGTGCGTGTGCCCGCGTGTGCCCGCGTGTGTGTGTTATGGTGGGGAGTGTAGCGGCTAGTGCGCTACGAACCCGGCGACCCGAGTTCGATTCCAGCTCACGGCCACCAACACCGGTGACGATTATTTGAACCGGTCATGGGCCTCCGCTAGGTCGACGCAGCCTCAAATGAGTACCCGGTGCGGTGTGTAAACATCGCCACTGGGGAGACAAAGGCGGTCGGGCGTGGTGCTGGCCAACCCACCCTCTCGTGTGTCGTGTCGGACTTAATAAGAAGTGCTCGCTAACAACACTTGCCCCAACAGTCTGATGAGGCTATGCGGGGGATCTTTGTCTTTGTGTCCGCATGTCAGGAATGCCAGGGCGGCCCAGGGGAGGCATGGGAGGCCGCGCCTTCAGCGAGGTCGGGGAGCGATGGGGGGGCTCCCCAGACCGACACCCGGGCGCACTCAGGAGCAGGTAACGTGGAGTGAGGAGGTGGGAGCAGGTAACGTGGTGTGAGCAGTAACGTGGTGTGAGTAGGTGGGAGCAGTCACGTGGTGTGGCAGGTGGGAGCAGTCACGTGGTGTGGCAGGTGGGAGCAGGTGACGTGTGAGCAGGTGGGAGCAGTCACGTGGGAGCAGGTGGGTGGGGGGGGTACATTGTCGGTGGAAGCAGTTGGGTGACAGTGGGAGCAGGTGGGTGGGTGTAGTTGGGACCAGGTGGGTAGGTGGGTGGGTGTATGCTTGTGTGGGTAGTGGGTGGGTGTATGCTTGTGTGGGTAGGTGGGTGGGTGCATGCTTGTGTGGGTAGGTACACGTGGGGGCGAACCCGCGTTCAATTCCCGCCTCACGACCAAGAACAGTGGCGAATATCCGAACCGGTCCTGGGCCTCCCCTAGGTCGACTCAGCCTTAAATTGAGTAGCTGGTGCGGTGCGTAAAAACATTGGGGAGACAAAGGCTACCGGGCGTGTTGCTCGCTACCCACCATCCTACAGCACCTGCTTCAACAGTCTATTGATGCACCTGCTTCAACAGTCTATTGATGCACCTGCTTCAACAGTCTATTGATGCACCTGCTTCAACAGTCTATTGATGCACCTGCTTCAACAGTCTATTGATGCACTTGCTTCAACAGTCTATTGATGCACCTGCTTCAACAGTCTATTGATGCACCTGCTTCAACAGTCTATTGATGCACCTGCTTCAACAGTCTATTGATGCACCTGCTTCAACAGTCTATTGATGCACCTGCTTCAACAGTCTATTGATGCACCTGCTTCAACAGTCTATTGATGCACCTGCTTCAACAGTCTATTGATGCACCTGCTTCAACAGTCTATTGATGCACCTGCTTCAACAGTCTATTGATGCACCTGCTTCAACAGTCTATTGATGCACCTGCTTCAACAGTCTATTGATGCACCTGCTTCAACAGTCTATTGATGCACCTGCTTCAACAGTCTATTGATGCACCTGCTTCAACAGTCTATTGATGCTTTCTGGGGTATTTGTCTTTACCTTTAAACACATCGGGCATGGGTGGGTGGTCGATAAAACGAGTAACATTTTGTGTGAAGTCAATAAGTCCCCCCCCCCCCACACACCATGGGAACTTATCCGTTGTCATCGCTCCAATGTGACCATCAACTTTGTCTGCATGTCCTCTCTCGCTCTCTCCCTCCCTCTCTCTCTCAACTCCTCTCTCTCTCTCTCTGTCTCTCTCTGCTCAGGGCTGCGAGTGAGGACAGGTGAGCGAGTGGAGACGACGCGGGGGAGGAAGGGAGGAATTGGGAGTGGAGTGAGGACGAGTCAGGGCCCACGCGCTCGTCCTGCGTACCAGGCGCTGGAGATAGAGTATCTCCACGCCACCGTGACGCAGACGTAGCCGTAGCAGAACCGTTACCTTTGTACAAAGGTGGCCTGGCTTGATAACGGAACCAACCTCTCTCCTCCTCCCTGTACCCACAGCCAAAAATCCCGACTCAACGAAACCAATTTTTTCTTTTATTTTGCCAGGTAAGGGCCCACTTAGCGATGTAGCTCTTTTATTCAGAAGCGACCTGCCTATTACAAATGATAGCTCAACGGAGTTGGCTTATCGCGTGGAAATTTAGAGCAGCCGAATTCTCAAAACACGTGGTGACGTTGATTCGAAATGTGGAGGGGAAAACCGGAGGACCCGGAGAAAAATCCACGGGAAGAGAGAGAGAGACACGCAAACTCCAAATAAACAGCAGCAGGCGTCAGGGTCGGGATCGAACCCACAACCTCCTGTACAACAGGCGAGGTAGTCAACATCTCCTAGCCACCGTGATGATGATGGTGAGAGACGCAAACTCCAAATAAACAGCAGCAGGCGTCAGGGTCGGGACCTAACCCACGACCTCCTGCGTATCAGGTGAGGTAGTTAACATCTCATAGCCACCGTGATGATGATGATGATGAGAGAGAGAGAGACGCAAACTCCAAATAAACAGCAGCAGGCGTCAGGGTCGGGACCTAACCCACGACCTCCTGCGTACCAGGTGAGGTAGTCAACATCTCATAGCCACCTTGACGCCCCTTCACCCCCCTCCCCCAGATTCGGGGGCCCCCCACCCGAGCCGCCGGGCCCCACCCTCCCGCAGGTAGAGCTCACGGAGGAGGAGAGGAGAATCATCCAGGAGGTGATGACGCGAGCAGAGCGCATGGAGAGCCAGGAGCAAGAGCGAATAGGGTACGCCATCACCACCATCACCATCGGCAGCAGAATCATCATCAGCAATATCACCACCACCATCATCATTATTTTCATGAGAATCAGCAGCAGCAGCAGCATTGTCTTTTTTACCATCAGCAATTCAAGATTGATTTTCAGAAGCAAGAGACATCATCGGCAACGCCATTGTCATCAGCAGTATCATCATCAGCATTATCTCCATTATCATCTTCATTGTCAGAAGCAGAGATGCCACCAGCAGCAGCGGCGGCAGCATCACCAATAGTTAATCCATTGTCATGGCCATTACCATCAGCAACAGCACCATGAACACCACCACCACCACCACTATCATCCTCGTCGTCATGGTAACACCACCGCTGTTCTCGAGAGAGGAGCTGCAACCACAATCAGCGTCGTCATCACCACCACCACCATCGGAGGAATAACCACGACGGATGAAGATTCCGCAGGTCGCGTAGTGCAGTGATTAGCAGTCGCTCCCGGATCGATCGTGGGAGTAGAGTCGGGGCGGGGGTAGGGGGATGGGGGGGTGGGATGGGGGGGGGATGGGGGGGGGGGGTTGCGTGGAGTGAGTAGTGAGTAGGGGAGGGTAGTCGGCTCATCTCGCTCTGTCACTCGCTCGCGCGTGTTGACGATGCACAACGCTGATCGCTCATTCCACTAAGTGACACCAAGCGCTCCATCAGAGTCGGGGACGGGTTGGGGGGGGACGATCAGTCACGAGCACAAACAAAGACAAAGATCCCCCGTTTAGCCTTAACAGACTGTTGGGGGCAAGTGCTGTCAGCGAGTTGCAGCACCTTATGAAGGCCGACACGGCACACGAGGGGGTGGGTTGGCTAGCACCACGCCCGGCCGCCTTTGTCTCCCCAGTGGCGATGTTTACACATCGCACCAGGTACTCATTTGAGGCCGAGTCGACCTATGAGAGGCCCGGGACCGGTTTAGAAAATCGTCACTGGTTTGGCCGTGAGCGGGACTCGAACTGAGGTGGCTGAGTTCGTAGCGCAGCCTAGCGCTGACCGCTCCACTACCGCTTCCTACGCGGGCGCGCGCACACGGACACAAACGTACAGACACACACACATATACAAACACACACAGACACACACACAAACACATACACAAACACACACAGACACACACACAAACACACACAGATACAATCGCACAGACACACACGCAAACACACACAGACACATACACAAACACACACAGACACACACACAAACACACACAGACACACACAGACACACACACAAACACACACAGACACACACAGACACATACACAAACACACACAGACACACACAGACACACACAAACACATACACAAACACACACAGACACACACACAAACACACACAGACACACACACAAACACACACAGACACACAAACACACACAGACACACACAGATAGAATCGCACAGTCACACACACAAACACACACACAAACACACACAAACACACACAGACATACACACAAACACACACAGATACAATCGCACAGACACACACGCAAACACACACAGACACATACACAAACACACACAGACACACAAACACACACAGACACACACACAGAAACACACAGATACAATCGCACAGACACACACACACACAAACACACACAGACACACACAAACACACCACAAACACACACGCACACCACCACCACCAACACGACTACCACCAAAACCACCAACAACACCACCAACACCACCACCAACACCACCACCAACACTAACACCACCACCGACACCACCACCGCCAACACCACCAACACCACCACCAATACCACCACCACCAACACCATCACCACCACCAACACCACCACCACCAAAACCACCAAAACCACCAACACCACCACCACCAACACCACCAACACCACCAACACCAAAACCACCACCAACACCACCAACACCAAAACCACCACCAACACCACCAACACCACCACCAACACCACCAACACCACCACCAACACCACCACCACCATCAAAACCACCACGAACACTACCAACACCACCACCAACACCATCACCACCACTAACACCACCACCAACACCACCACCAACACCACCAACACCACCACCAATACCACCACCACCAACACCATCACCACCACCAACACCACCACCACCACCACCAACACCACCAAAACCACCAACACCACCACCAACACCACCAACACCACCAACACCAAAACCACCACCAACACCACCAACACCAAAACGACCACCAACACCACCAACACCACTACCAACACCACCACCAACACCACCACCAACACCAACACCACCATCAAAACCACCAACACCACCACCACCATCAAAACCACCACGAACACTACCAACACCACCACCACCACCAACACCACAAACACAAACACCACCTCCAACGCCATCACCACAAATCACCGGCGTGCTTGCAGACCCGAGTGCGCTAACCACTCCACCACCGCTCATCCAACATATTGAGACGTGCACGCAGATCGCCTTCATAGGCACACAGACGCAAAGAAAAGACAAAGATCTCCCGTAGAGCCTTTAACAGACTGTTTGGGCAAGTGCTGTTTGCGAGCACCGATGAAGGCCGACACCACAAAGACAAAGATCTCCCGTAGAGCCTTTAACAGACTGTTGGGGCAAGTGCTGTTTGCGAGCACCTACGAAGGCCGACGCCACAAAGACAAAGATCTCCCGTAGAGCCTTTAACAGACTGTTGGGGCAAGTGCTGTTTGCGAGCACCTACGAAGGCCGACACCACAAAGATAAAGATCTTCCGTAGAGCCTTTAACAGACTGTTGGGGCAAGTGCTGTTTGCGAGCACCTACGAAGGCCGACACCACAAAGATCTTCCGTAGAGCCTTTAACAGAGTGTAGGGGCAAGTGCTGTTTGCGAGCACCTACGAAGGCCGGCACGGCGCACGATCGGGGTGGGGTGGCCGGACACCACGCCCGGCCGCCTTTGTCTCCCCGAGTGTCGATCCTTTACTACACACCGCACCAGGTACTCATTTTTATATATATAAACAAAAGCAGGCTCAGGAAATCGACGAGACTCAGCAGTGGGACGACCCGTCAGGATCGGTTGCGATTTAAACAAAATAAAATAACAATAATTCTCTCGCCGCAGTCAGACGTCATCTGCTGGAGCAGGAATCGAACTCGGGGGGGTCCGGTCTGGGCTCCGCAGCGCAGTGCGGCGCTGACCACGTGGCACGGACACCCCTGGACCCCACAGACCCCCCCCCCCCCACTCTCCCCCCCCCCCCATTAATTAGATTAAGAAGGCGGAGTGCACCGTCGATTCACGTCTGCAGGGAGCACAAATTTATTAAAGTGACAACCACACGCCAAGTGGGAGGGGGGGGGGGGAGAGTCTGGGGGGGGGAGGGGTCGCCTCTAAACCCCTCCAGCCCCCCTCCACTGCATCCCGTCCAAGTCAAACCCCACGATGCAGAGGGACACAAAGACACAGATCCCCCCGTGCGTGTAGGGTCCAACAGAGTGTTAGGGACAAGTGCTGCTAGCGAACACCGCCGTTGAAGGCCGGCATGGCACACGAGGCCGGGGGAAGTGGGGGGCTGGGCTAGCTTCACGCACGCCCCGGCCGCCTTTGTCTCCCCGACGGCGATGTTTTATACACCGCACCAGGCAGTGTGCTCGTTTGACGGCAGAGTCGACCCAAGTGAGGCCCAGGAGCGGTTCTCATCATCCTCTGAGCGGTGGTATTGGCCGCGCGGGGAATTGCGCTCACCATTCCGCCACCGCTCCCCCCACGTCACCAGGACACCACGCACCCCCCCCCCCCCACTACTCTTACCGATAGACGCAGCACGTACACCACACACCACGCACACGCGGTGATGTTCTAAGATTCATGATGACGCTGAGAAGAGGCATCGTTGTGCATTACAAGCACGTAGATTGTGTCACGTCGATGATGTACGTTGAGCTTCTTTCGCACCGTACGTGGACAACCGCACTAATCGGAGGTGCATTGCGATGACAATGCTATTGGTGTTGATGGTGGTGATGGTGATGATGGTGATGGTGGTGGTGGTGATGGTGATGGTAGTGGTGATGGTGGTGATGGTTATGGTGGTGATGGTGACGATGGTAGTGGTGATGGTAGTGGTGATGGTGGTGATGGTGGTGATGGTGGTGGTGATGGTGGTGATGGTGATGGTGGTGATGGTAGTGGTGATGGTGGTGATGGTGGTGATGGTGGTGATGTTGATGGTGGTGATGGTGGTGGTGTTGATGGTGGTGGTGGTGGTGATGGTGGTGGTGATGTTGATGGTGGTGATGGTGGTGGTGGTGGTGATGGTGGTGGTGGTGGTGATGGTGGTGGTGGTGATGGTGGTGATGGTAGTGGTGATGATGGTGATGGTAGTGGTGATGGTGGTGATGGTTATGGTGGTGATGGTGACGATGGTAGTGGTGATGGTAGTGGTGATGGTAGTGGTGATGGTGGTGATGGTGGTGATGGTGGTGGTGATGGTGGTGATGGTGGTGATGGTAGTGGTGATAGTGGTGATGGTGGTGATGGTGATGGTGGTGGTGATGGTGGTGGTGATGGTGGTGATGGTGATGGTGGTGGTGATGGTGGTGGTGATGGTGGTGATGGTGGTGATGGTAGTGGTGATGGTGGTAGTGGTGATGGTGGTGATGGTGGTGGTGATGGTGGTGGTGATGGTGGTGGTAGTGGTGGTGGTAGTGGTGATGGTGGTGGTGATGGTGGTGATGGTGGTGATGGTGGTGGTGATGGTGGTGGTGGTAGTGGTGATGGTGGTGGTAATGGTGATGGTGGTGGTGATGGTGGTGGTGATGGTGGTGGTGATGGTGGTGGTGATGGTGGTGGTGGTGGTAGTGGTGATGGTGGTGGTGATGATGGTGGTGATGGTGGTGATGGTGGTGGTGATGGTGGTAGTGGTGGTGATGGTAGTGATGGTGGTGGTAGTGGTGATGGTGGTGGTAGTGGTGGTGATGGTGGTGGTGATGGTGGTGGTGATGGTGGTGGTGTTCCCGAATCATGGCCCAGTTGCTCGAGGCGTGCTCAGCTCTGCACCAAACCCAAACGTCGCATTGACACCACCCTGGGCTCACTCTCCTCAGCGTGCCCCCCCCCTCCCACCACTCCCACTCCCATGTGAGATGAGCTGGAGCCGGGCCTGTATTTAATGGCGTTGTTGTTGATGTTGTTGATTATGTTAATGATGTTGGTGTTGATGATATTGTTGTTGTTGACGATTATGTTGATGATATTATTTTCATGATGTTGTTCATATTGTTGTTGCTGATGGTGGGAGCAGGATGCTCGTGGAGAGGGTGGAGGGGCTGCGTCAGACGGCCGCGGGGGGCCCCACGGCAGGCGGCGAGGGGGGCTGCTCGCTCTGTGGGGGGGCGCTGGGGACCGGCGACTCGAGCCGCGTCTGCCACGACTGTAAGAAGGTGCGGGTTCGCGCACGGGACACGCGCACGGGGGATTTAAATAAAGAAAACCCCCCCTCCCCCATCAATCCCCGCGATCAATTAAATGATCCCTCCTATCCCCAAGGGAGCGGCAAACCAACGCAACAACAAGAAGAGACATTTTATTTTTCGACCTCGGCATCAAAGAATTAAATAAACAACAATTCAGCATTCCGAGCGGCGCAACGCGCACTGCTGGGTGAACACGAGGCAGTGGTGGTGGTGGTGGGCCCCATCACGAACAGCGGTCACGAAGCGGCAGTCCCTTCGAGAGACACACGCGTGGATGCGGCTCCTGAGCGTTTGGTTCGGTTCAGCGCCACTGATGTTAGCCGTGGCCGAGAGACGACGAACCGCTATGCCACTGCTCCTCATACACTGCATTTACGAATATATCTCACCGGGGTAGCTTTTAACAGACTGCTGGGGACAAGTTGCTGCTGGCGAGTAGCCACCTAATGAAGGCCGGCACGGCACACGAGGGGGTGGATGGCCAACGCCACGCGCGGCCGCCTTTGTCTCCCTCCCCCGAGTACTGATGTTTCATACGCACCGCACCAGGTTATTCATTCAAGACATCTGTGAAAACCACCGGGCATCTGTGGACAAAGAGCTTTGTAGCTCGTCGGATTACTCCACCGCGTCCCAGCACAGAGGCCCTGCCAGGCGTCACCCGTGTTGACTCGCACATCCCCATCCCTCCACCCCAGTGCCCCTTAGAAGTACCGTACAACATAGGAATCGATGCAGCTGCAGGTTATATATATTAAACAAAAATCTGGCTCACCACTTCATGCAAGTGTGCATAATTAGAAATCACATTCTCCCCGAGTATATTTAATTCAGTTTTGTTAAATATATAAACACAGCCATCTGTCCACCACAGCACGGATGGCTAGAGGGGAGTGTTCCAGATAACTCGAGCGGTAGAATGGAGCGACCTCCCGCACCGAGCGGTCGTTCATCTGCGGGTTTCGGAGAGAGACAGGGGGTAGCGTGGAGGGGAGTGAGAGGAGAGGCAGGGGAGAGCGTGGAGTGGAGTGAGATGAGAGGTAGGGGAGTGCGTGGAGGGGAGTAGAGTGAGAGGAGAGGCAGGGGGAAGCATGGAAGGGAGTGAGATGAGAGGCAGGGGAGAGCGTGGAGGGGAGTGAGATGAGAGACAGGGGGTAGCATGGAGGGGAGTAGAGTGAGATGAGAGGTAGGAGAGAGCGTGGAAGGGAGTGGAGTGAGCTGAGATGCAGGGGAGAGCGTGGAGGGGAGTGAGATGAGAGGTAGAGAAAAGCGTGGAGGGGAGTGGAGTGAGCTGAGAGGGGAGAGGCAGGGGAGTGAGTAGAGGGGGGTAGAGTGAGCTGAGAGGGGAGAGGCAGGCAGGAGCGAGTGCGCGGATGGTCTTGAAGACAGCGAGTGTCAATCTTGTAATTTATCCCTGGATCGTAATTGAGTATCTGGAGACGTGGTCCCGTGCACGGGTGCGTGCGTGTGAGTAGTCTGGCACCTGCACGGGAGTAGTTCGGTAGTGGGGGGTTTAGGGGAGGTCTTCTGTGGAGGCCATTTAGAGAGGCCGTGGTGAGGAGAGAGAGGGGGGAGGGGGAAGCAGAGCTGCGTTGGACGTCTGTGAAAAAGAGCTTCATAGCTCATCGGATTCCTACAGTAGAACAATTATTATGGGTAAATCCGCGAGGTGACGGAGGCACGCACACGGAAATGTGCGCCGTGTAACCGTTTGCTAATTGCCTCATTGGGGGGGGGGGGGAGATGTCAATTTGCGTGTTGTGTTTTTTTGTCGTCTGCGAAGCGGGAGAAATTACACGGAGCAGCGACTAGCCAGACGGCATCGTAACATTTGACTTACGGGCTGCTGATGATGCTGTAGCTTCTGTAACTGGTGCCGTGAGAGAGAGAGTCGCGTCTGGGCGCGAGGGGGGCCTCCCGTGCCAAGGAACTGCGTGCCAAGGCGGGCGCGGAGGAATTGACGCGCAGTGTGAAACACGGCGATGGAACACATCTCCCGCTCGAGTGATTGTCGCCCGTGCACTCATATTTCAACAACAACAACAACAACGTTGGGAGCAACTACTCTTTCCTGCCCCCTCCCCCCTACTCCCCCTTGTCCTCCCACTCCCCCCCCTCCTCCTCCTCCTACTGTTGGGGATTTATTGTTCCCTCGCTCGCTTTCGCATTTAATTTTTTTCGGATTTATTTACGACCGGCGGTTTTCGTGTGACTACGAGCACGGGATGGTGGGGAGGGGTAGGTGGGGGGAGGAGTTGGTGGGGGGGGGTAGGTGGGGGTAGGTGGGGGTAGGGGTAAGTGGGGGGTAGGTGGGGGTAGGGGTAGGTGGGGGGTAGGTGGGGGGAGGGGTAGGTGGGGGGTAGGTGGGGGGAGGGGTAGGTGGGGGGAGGGGTAGGTGGGGGGTAGGTGGGGGGAGGGGTAGGTGGGGGGAGGGGTAGGTGGGGGGTAGGTGGGGGGAGGGGTAGGTGGGGGGAGGGGTAGGTGGGGGGAGGGGTAGGTGGGGGGTAGGTGGGGGGAGGGGTAGGTGGGGGGTAGGTGGGGGGTAGGTGGGGGGAGGGGTAGGTGGGGGGAGGGGTAGGTGGGGGGAGGGGTAGGTGGGGGGGTCCATATCAGAATGAGGATATTGATCGGGACTGGAGGAGAAGAAATCCGATGAGCTATAAAGCTCTTGTTCACAGATGTCCGGTAGGGGCAGGTCAGCGAGTTACAGCATCAACCGATACAACAACAACAAAACGACGCGAGTGCAAGAGAGAGAAAGGGCGAGCGAGTCGCTAAAAAGACAACAACAACAACAACAGTCCCAGACCACACCAAGACAACAACAACAATCCCAGACCTCACCAAGACAACAACAACAGTCCCAGACCACACCAAGACAACACCGGAGCGCCACCGCGCGTCCCATCTCGGGACTTCAAGCAGGGATGGCGGAGGATCGACTTGAGGGAGTTCGAGTGGAGGGGGTTCGAGTGGAGGGGGTTCGAGTGGAGGGGGTTAGAGTGGAGGGGGTTCGAGTGGAGGAGGTTCGAGTGGAGGGGGCTCGAGTGGAGGAGGTTCGAGTGGAGGGGGTTCGAGTGGAGGGGGTTCGAGTGGAGGGGGTTCGAGTGGAGGGGGTTCGAGTGGAGGGGGCTCGAGTGGAGGAGGTTCGAGTGGAGGGGTTTCGAGTGGAGGGGTTTCGAGTGGAGGAGGTTCGAGTGGAGGAGGTTCGAGTGGAGAGGGCTCGAGTGGAGGAGGTTCGAGTGGAAGGAGGTTCGAGTGGAAGGAGGTTCGAGTGGAGGAGGTTCGAGTGGAGGGGGTTCGAGTGGAGGGGGTTCGAGTGGAGGGGGTTCGAGTGGAGGAGGTTCGAGTGGAGGGGGCTCGAGTGGAGGAGGTTCGAGTGGAAGGAGGTTCGAGTGGAGGGGGCTCGAGTGGAGGAGGTTCGAGTGGAAGGAGGTTCGAGTGGAAGGAGGTTCGAGTTGAGGGAGTTCGAGTGGAGGGGGTTCGAGTGGAGGGGGTTCGAGTGGAGGGGGTTCGAGTGGAGGAGGTTCGAGTGGAGGGGGCTCGAGTGGAGGAGGTTCGAGTGGAGGGGGTTCGAGTGGAGGGGGCTCGAGTGGAGGAGGTTCGAGTGGAGGGGTTTCGAGTGGAGGGGTTTCGAGTGGAGGAGGTTCGAGTGGAGGGGTTTCGAGTGGAGGAGGTTCGAGTGGAGGGGGCTCGAGTGGAGGAGGTTCGAGTGGAAGGAGGTTCGAGTTGAGGGAGTTCGAGTGGAAGGAGGTTCGAGTCCTCCGCATGGCCGCCCGTTGAATACCACGGGCGGCTGCCGCTGCCCGCTGCCGCCACCGCTGCCCGTGCCGCGAGGCGACGCTGCGGGCATCAGAGCGGCGACTTCAGCGCCACCCACAGTCGCGCTGCCCCCACCAGCGCTCCCGTCTCTGTTCCTCCGTGTGAACCCCAACAACGCCACCGGTTCCTCCTCGGCGAGAGCGCGGCCAAATAGCCAACGAACGCGCACGGCTTGGAGGGTAGGCCCCCATCCAGCAGGGGACGAGACCACGGCTGACGACGAGGATGCCCGCCTCATCATTGGCGGGGCTTTGAAGGGATCAGAAGCAGAAATCGCGACCGTGGGATTCTCGTCGCTCCAGGATTGGCGCTAGAGGGCGCCGTCTGCCTATGGGGAAAAATAACTGCGCGGTCACGGTTCAGTTTCATCGTTTAGGTACGAGAGCGGGAAGTACCCCGCGTTGCCCGGGCGAAAAAGACACACACACATAGACTTACACACACACACATCGACTTACACACATAAACACATCGACTTACACACACACATCGACTCACACACACACACATCGACTTACACACACACACATAGACTCACACACATAAACATATCGACTTACACACATAAACACATAGACTTACACACACACATCGACTTACACACACACATCGACTCACACACAAACACATCGACTTACACACACACACATCGACTCACACACACACACATCGACCTACACACACACATCGACTCACACACAAACACATCGACTTACACACACACACATCGACTCACACACACACACATCAATTTACACACGCACACACATCGACTTACACACACACATCGACACACACACATCGACTCACACACACATCGACTCACACACACACACACATCGACTTACACACACACACATCGACTTACACACACATGGACCGGTATAGCCCTGTGAGCCATGCGGCTCTTTTGTTTGTCGCGGTGTAACCGCGACAAACAAAAACATGAACAAGAAACATCTTAAAGTGACGACGCGCAACAGAAACATCCAGGAAAAAACAGCAAAAATCGTCCAGAAAAAAGGCGCCGTATATCAACGCTGTGTGCAAAAATCCCAGTGGGATGCAAGTCAAACAATAACAACCATAAGACAATTTAGATACAAGTTATCAGGCTAACTCCGTACTTCAACAAACAAACATGGCTTAACCATACGTTTTCGAAATCACCAAAATAAAGCTATGAAAACACAATGTAACAGTGATCATAGGAACTGTGATTCAAATGTAACAGTAAACGATATACATAACATGTACGACCAAACTTTGCAGCCACAGCTGGCAGCATGAGTCACTCCATAACAGCAGGCGTGGACCCGCCCCTTTCGATTAACTACATCGCCTGGTATACAAGGGGACGTGGGTTCGATCCTGACCCTGACGCCCTACTGCATATGAAGTTTGCGGTGTCTCTCTCTCTCTCCCGTTCTCTCTCCGTGCTCGCGTGGATTTTTCTCTGGCTCCTTCCCTGTTTCCCCTCCACGTTTACAATCAACGTCACGCGTTTATCGGTTTTATTTTGGCCGCTATGAATTGCCACGTGCTGATGATACGCTACTTCGTCGGGCTATCATTTTGCGATAAGCCAATGTCGCGTTCTGTTAGCGAGCGCCTATTAAGAGCAATCCACCCTGTTGATTAGACGTGTCTTCAAATTGTCATGATCACCCGCTAGTAATTGGATCACCAAAATAAAACTATATAATTACAGAATTACAAAATACAATAATCTTATAACTGTTGTATAATTGCATAACACTTATATAATTATTATATCAGGTGATAATAATTGTAATGACCTTTCCTATACTTTTCATTTCTCGAAATTTTTCTTGCTGTGGTTTTCCGACCTGATGATGATTGCTTGTGTTGCAATCGAAACGTCGTGATTTGTTTTATTTTATCTCTAAGTCCGTAACTTTACCGAAATAACCAAAGAGGATGGATTCCTGCAGTCACGAAAGCTTCACATCAAGATTATTTTTGTATTGTTTGTTATAACGATCTGACCCAGTGCCCCGACTAGATTATCTGTGAACAAAGAGCCTCATAGCTCATCGGATTCCTCCTGCAGTATAAATACAAATTCTGATACTGAATGATTATATACCCAGGAGGGCCACGCGGAGTCGTGAGACTCGTCTTCAGGAGGCTGCTGCTGCTACTGCTTCGTTGGGTGGTTATTTTAAGATGTTTCCAGCCAATTACCTTTCAAGTGTCGGTAAATAACTACAATTGTCTTTATTTGGGTGGAGCGGTGGCGCAGTGGTTAGCGCACTGCACTGTGAACCCACAAGACGAAGACAAAGATGCCCCGTATAGAGACTTACACTTTTTGGGGACAAGTGCTGTTAGCGAGTAGCACCTGCGACGGCAAACGAGGCGGTTGGTGGCCAGCACCACGCCCGGCCGCCTTTGTCTCCCCAGTGGCGATGTCTACTACGTACCGCACCACGTCTGGTACAGTACTCACTTGATGCGAGAGTCAACCTAATCGAGAAACAACAACAACCACCACAAATTCGCCACTAAGTGGCGGTGACATCACCACGGCGCTAGTGCCAGGCTGTGTGCGCTTTAAGACCACGTGAAAGTGTGTCGGAGGCCCGCCGGCAGGAGGAGGTCACGGGACAGACAGACCCAGGTGCCGTTGCATCCGACTGGCAGATGCACCAAACTGTGGCCCCAACTGTGCCAAGAGAGGAAGACGAAGACCCTCACAGCTGCAGACTGTTGGAACAAGCTGTTAGCGAGTAGCACCTATGAAGGCCGAGACGACAAAGAGAGAACACACACACGCGCACGTGTTCAATGGGCACGCGCACGGGTTGACTGAAAAGGTCATTGTCTGTATGTGTGTCTGTATGTGTGTGTGTGTGTCTCCCTTGTGGGGAGCGGTAGTTTAGTCGTGAGCACGCCGCGCTACGAACCCAGCGGGCCGAGTTCGATTTCGGGCAACACCGGTGACGATTACCTGAGCCGGTCTTGGGCCTCCCCTAGGTCGACTCAGCCTCGAATGAGTACCTGGTGCGGTGCGTAATCATCGCCATTGGGGAGACAAAGGCGGCCGGGCGTGGTTGCTGGCCACGAACCCCCTCGTGTGCCGTTCCGGCCTTCATAGGTTACTGCCCGCTAACAGCACTTGCCCCGGCAGTCTGTTAAGGCTACAAGGGGGAATCTTTGTCTTCATTGTTTTTGTGTCTCCCCCATCCCCCCACCGTGTTGTTTGCAGAGCGTGTGCGGGAGGTGCGGGGTGCAGACGTCGACTCGCAAGCAGAGCCGCGTGTGGGTGTGCCGTCTGTGTAACGAGCAGCGGGAGGTAGTGGCCCTGCAACACGCGACACGCCGACCACGCGCGACACGCCGACCATGCGCTCGCAAGATCAAATTGGGTCCCACGACTGGACACGTGTGAAAAAAGGACTGTGTAGCTCATGGGATCCTTCCAGTATCAATGAATATTCTGATTTAAAAAAAAATGCACACATATAAAGTCCAGACAAATGCTCGTACTTACGATAATATATTTTTTCTATATTAGAAAAAATACGTTTTGCTGGCTGGCTGGCTTCCTGGCTGGCTGGCGCGAGGGTGAGAAAGTTCGTGGTGTTGACGTCAACCTCTCCCCCCCCCTGCCTCATCACCTGTACCCCCCCCCCCCTGCCCCGTCACCTGTACCCCCTCTTCCTACCCCCTGCCCCGTCACCTGTACCCGCCCCCTGCCCCGTCACCTGTACCCCCACTTCCAACCCCCTGCCTCGTCACCTGTACCCTCCCCCCCCTGCCCCGTCACCTGTACCCCCCCCCTGCCCCGTCACCTGTACCCCCTCTTCCTACCCCCCCCCCCCATCCCCGAGGGCAGCTGTGGAAGCGCTCAGGCGCGTGGTTCTTCAAGGGGCTGCCCAAGTACGTGCTGCCCTCCCAGAGCTCCCTCGCCTCTCCGAGCAGCGCCGAGGAGCTCGCCACTCCGGGTGAGTACGGAGGAATGGCATCGGGGGGGGGGGGGGGGGGGGGGTTGCAATCAGGATATTTGTTTATACTGCAGAATAAATCCGATGAGCTATGAAGCTCTTTTTTCGCAAATGTTTAGTAAGGGGCAAGGGGTCACAACGTTACCACAATGGTACAAAAACATGATATGAGTACAAAGTGTAGGAAAGGTAAACACATAACTTGAAATATAACGTCATTTTAAATTTTGATTTAAAGCTTTCGTGACTGCAGTGATTCATATTCTTGGTTCTTTCGGTAAAGTCACGTTGAAGGGAAAAAAATAAAAATATAAAAATATATAAAACAATAAAATTATCACGTTTCGACTGCAACACAAGCACCTGATGATGACTGCTTGTTGCAGTCGAAACGTCGTGAGAATTTTATTGTTTTATATATTTTTTATTTTATTGTTTTCCCTTCAACGTGACTTTACCTAAAGAACCAAGAATATAATATATCGTCATTGTTTTAATCTCACCAGGTAAATTCCACTGAGCTATTAGCTTCTTTTTTCAGAAGCGACCTGGCCACAAATGATAGCTCAACGAAGTGGCTTATCACCATGTGGAAATTTAGAGCAAAAAAAATATCTAGACTCTAAAAGTTAAGGATGGTGGGGGCGGGGGGGAACCCGGAGGAAACCCCACACGTGCGAGGGGGAAACACTCTATCCCCGTACGGGATGTAAAACAGATGGCGATTAGTCCACACTTTGCTGTACCGTCTTCTCCTGGCGAGCCAGGGTTACTGCTCCTCCTAGAGCGCCCACGGGAAGGGAGTTCTACAACATCCGTGCGCGATCCTCCAACCCTCCACAGTGCTGGGTTTTCGGCAGCCACGCGCTGCAGTGTAGTAACCACCACGCGGCTGAAGATGAAATACATTTTATTCTGGATCGGAAACATTTCAGATGTCACGCGATGATGATGATGATATCGATGTTTAAAGTGCTTGGACCGCAATACCCCTTGCTCGTCAAAGAACACAAACCATCACACGTACTCCAGTCATCCTCGCAGCAGCAGCGGCTTTTGGCTCAGCCATCGAACAAGGGCGGTCACCGCATCGCGCGCTTTCAGATGCGCTTCTGCGGCCGTCTGGAACGCTCTTTCTTACGATATTAGGAAGCCACTGGAAGCTATGCACTTTTAAATCATCATCGAGATCGACAAACTCGTTTTTTTAAAGAACTGATTTGTGTCTGTTAGTTTGTTGTCCCTTCCACCTTCGATTATCGCGGTTGGCTACGTACGGTGCAAAAGAAGTCCAACAGACACGCGTTACATGTTCCGTGCTAAATAAAGATGCGTCCTCGCATTTGCACATTCTCTTGGCCGTGAACGCGATCCACCGATGACCTCTTGACCCCGACCTCGTGCAGAGTCGGGGGGCGAGGAGCGCGTGACCCGGACCGACAGCGCCGCCGCCTTCTCCTCCTCCTCATCCTCCGTGCAGCGCGCTCGCAGGCGCGGTACGAGACTTACACCACCAATCGTTGTCGTCATCAATTCAACACGCAGGGGGCTCTCGCGACCAATGTTATCCGTCGTAGAGGTTTTTGTTGGGTAGGATCGCGTTCTTTATAAATGCGCCATTAAACCCCGCCACCAGCCGACAGAGCCGCTTGGTAAGGTTTGTCACGTAAACAAAACGTGACAACTCTCTACCGGTACAGCACGCCGGTTGTGTGTTGGAGAAGCCACAACATTTACAATTCGAGTCCGACGTATCGCCAGTAATTCCAACTAGCATCATCAGGCGTGCAGCCAGAGTTGTGACTTATGAATCATCATCATCAGCAGCAGCCACGGTCAATCCACTGCTGGGTTAAATTTCCTACCACCTCCACCCCCCCCACACACACGCCGCCATCCCTCGTGGTGCAGCGCTGCTACCGTCTATCTCACTCCCGCGCACGGAACGATTGGGTCGCATCATCGCTGATGATCCGTGGGTGGAGGATTCTGCTCGCAGCGCGAAACGGCGTCGCGGTTCGCGGTAGCGCTGCCGCCCGTGGGAAAGAGATGTTAACTCCCTCGCCTGGTATACAGGAGGTCGTGGGTTTGATCTGGACCCTGACGCCTGTTATATATATTCGTAAGTATGTGTCGAACTCCTCCACTACCCGACACAGCCAGCAAGGTTTGTCACGTAAACTACGCGCCAATTAGTCACTACTTCAGCCCACCGGTGTGTTGGAGAGTAAATCCACAACATTAACAATTTTAATTTCGACGTTACGAATAATATTGGTCGCAAAAGCCTACGTGTTACACTGGATATTAGGAGTTTGTGTGTTTTCTCACTCGCTCTCCCCGTGGTGGCGTGGATTTTTTTTCTCCGGGTCCTCCGGTTTTCGCCTCCACATTTAGAATCAACACCACGCGTTTATCAGTATTTGGCTGCTCTACATTTCCACGCGATGATAAGCCACTTTCGTTGAGCCATCATTTGTGATAGCCAGGTGGCTTGTGAAAAAAGCTACATAGCTTAGTGTGGCCTTACCTGGTAAATTAAAAAAAGACGATAGTTTAGTTTTAGCTCACAGCTCCTAAGCCATCCCTCAGCAATGGGAGCACAGCAGCTCCACCAGAAGCCAATCATTACCCCTAAGGCTGCCTCGACCGAATCGCTCCCAATCAGACCTCTGCGTGCGGTGCCAGACGAAGCGGCCGCTCGATTGGCAAAGGCGTGCCAAATCGACCAATGGTAAGCGAGCAAACAAATCGACCAATGGTGAGCAAGCAAACAAATCATCTGGCCGGGGGGGGGGGCGGCGGTGACGAATTAATTCCGCCTCCACACGTGCAAGTCCAACCAATCGCGAGCAAGTTACCGCCTCCCTCGCACGGCTTCTGATTAACTTAAAATGCCGAACTAATATGAATGATGCAATAACATTTATATTATACAATAATAATAACACGCGTGCAAGTTGAGCCAATCACAACCCAGTCACCCCTAATTGGATACCACGCATGCGTCTCCTAACCAATGGGTGTTCCGAGCGTGAGGCAAGGTTCTCTCTGAGTCTATAGGTCTCTGTGTAAGTCTATGGGTCTCTGTATAAGTCTATGGGTCTCTATGTAAGTCTATGGGTCTCTACGTAAGTCTATGGGTCTGTGTGTAAGTCTATGGGTCTCTATGTAAGTCTATGGGTCTCTATGTAAGTCTATGGGTCTCTGTGTAAGTTTATGGGTCTCTATGTAAGTCTATGGGTCTCTATGTAAGTCTATGGGTCTCTGTGTAAGTCTATGGGTCTCTATGTAAGTCTATGGGTCTCTACGAATGTCTATGGGTCTCTGTGTAAGTCTATGGGTCTCTGTGTAAGTCTATGGGTCTCTATGTAAGTCTATGGGTCTCTGTGTAAGTCTATGGGTCTCTATGTAAGTCTATGGGTCTCTATGTAAGCCTATGAGTCTCTATGTAAGTCTATGGGTCTCTGTGTAAGTCTATGGGTCTCTATGTAAGTCTATGGGTCTATATGTAATTCTATGGGTCTCTATGTAATTCTATGGGTCTCTATGTACGTCTATGGGTCTCTATGTACGTCTATGGGTCTCTGTGTAAGTCTGTGGGTCTCTATGTACGTCTATGGGTCTCTATGTACGTCTATGGGTCTCTGTGTAAGTCTGTGGGTCTCTATGTACGTCTATGGGTCTCTGTGTAAGTCTATGGGTCTCTATGTAAGTCTATGGGTCTCTATGTAAGTCTACGGGTCTCTATGTAATTCTATGGGTCTCTGTGTAAGTCTATGGGTCTCTATGTAAGTCTATGGGTCTCTGTGTAAGTCTATGGGTCTCTATGTAAGTCTATGGGTCTCTATGTACGTCTATGGGTCTCTATGTAAGTCTATGGGTCTCTATGTAAGTCTATGGGTCTCTATGTAAGTCTATGGGTCTCTATGTAAGTCTATGGGTCTCTCTGTAAGTCTATGGGTCTCTGTGTAAGTCTATGGGTCTCTATGTAAGTCTATGGGTCTCTATGTAAGTCTATGGGTCTCTATGTAAGTATATGTGTCTCTGTGTAAGTATATGGGTCTCTATGTAAGTCTATGGGTCTCTGTGTAAGTCTATGGGTCTCTATGTAAGTCTATGTGTCTCTATGTAAGTCTATGGGTCTCTATGTAAGTCTATGGGTCTCTCTGTAAGTCTATGGGTCTCTGTGTAAGTCTATGTGTCTCTATGTAAGTCTATCGGTCTCTATGTAAGTCTATGGGTCTCTGTGTAAGTCTATGGGTCTCTGTGTAAGTCTATGGGTCATACCGCCCCCATCCCCCGCCCCTCCTCTTGTGCCGCAGGAGCTTCCGAATCCCCCGGAGGGGAGGGTGATGGGGGGGACGAGGGGTCGCGGGGGAGGGGCCAGCGGCCCCCACCGCGGCGCGGGGAGGTGACACACGGTGCGTTGCGCGCGTCCTCACGTGACTTCGACGTCGATGACGGTGGTGGTGATGATGGCAGAGATGATGTTGATGGTGATTATAATGGTGTAGTGATGGTGGTGGTTGTAGGGATGATAATGATGATGGTATTGGTGGTGGTGTTGCTGATCATGGCAGGGATGATGTTGATTATAATGGTGTAGTGATTGTTGGTGGTTGTAGGGATGATGGTGGTATTGGTGGTCGTGGTTATGGCAGAGATGATGGTGGTGCGGTAGTACAGGGATACTGATGAGATGATGGTGGTGATGTTGAATGCGATGATGAATTATGATGGAGGTCGTGGGGGTGATGATGTTATTTTGACTGGAGTTAAGTTGATGATGATGATGGCAGTCGTCATGACGATCACCACTATGATGACGATGGTGAACTTTGATGTTGGGGGTTGGCCCAGGATTGGGGGGCGCCGAAGGGGCGGGGCCGCCCGCTTCGAGGGGGGCTCGCCCCCCCGCGGCGTCGTCACGTGACCGCGCGCACGACTCGGGTCACGTGGGCGGGGAGCCCGGGGGACGAGGAGACGAGACGGCTCATGACGTCACACGTACCTCGTCAGGGGGTGAGGGTGATCATCAATTAATCATGATAATTTCATCATTATAATCATCATTCATCATCATAATCATTCACCATCATCATCAATGAATGACTATAATCATAAATGCATTAATGTATCACTATAATCATCAATTCATCATTGTAACCATCATCATTAATTCACATGGGTCTCTATGTGAGTCATATACTCGCACAGAGACTCACCAACTCTTATATACCCAAAGATACACATTAATACCCATAGATTCACATTGACACACTCACATAGAGAGTCACATGAGACTCAGGCTCACATAGAGAGCCATAGATCCACCAACTCATATATACCCATATATTCACATAGAGACTCATATATACACGTAGATTCGCATGGTCACACATAGACACAGAGACTCACATAGATTGTCATAGACTCAAAATGAGGCACATAGGCTCACATACACATCCATAGAGACCGGCATAGAGACACATAGATTGGCACAGAGACCTATAGATACAAATATATCGCGACGCAGGACCATTGCCCAAAACGTCACCTATCATTTACTTTGTTGTCTTCAAGGCCAAGCGGTGTTATTGACTAATGTTTTGAATTCGTTGTTGTTGTTTGTTGTTGTTGATTATGCTCTTGCAACACTGCCAACGCAGTAGCAGCAGCAGCAGCACCACCACCAGATAATACGTTTTAATCTGGCAAATTAGAAAATCATCACGATCTCTCTGTCAATGCAAAGGCAACGAGCCCCTGCATAGCCTCAGCAGAGTGTTGGGGGCCAGCGCTGTTCGTAGCAGCACCGATGAAGAAGGCCGGCGCCGTGTGGCACACGGGTGGGTGGGTGGCCAGCAGCACGCCCACACACTCGCGCTCAAGATTTCTCATCCGGCGAAACAAACAAAAAACCCCATAAACTTCAAAACTTGGACTTCAGGAAACGCGCTAAATTATTGAGGATCACCGAGCAGGGAAAGATGTCATCAACACGACTCTCTATTTGGGACCCGTGATATTGAAGCAGCCTGCCCCCCGCCTCTCCCACGCCCCCCCCCCCCCCCCATGGAAGGCCGTGGGTTCTGAATTAGGCGTGACGGGGGTCAGCCTACGCAATGCACCCTCCTTTCCTCTCCCTCCTCCCTAGCCCCTCCTCCTCCTGCCTCCTTCTTCACCCTACTCCCTCCATCATCCAACCCCTCCCTCCTCGCCCCCCCTTCCCCCCTCTCTTCTCCCTCCTCCCCCTTCCCCCTCCTCTTGCCTCATCCTTCCCCTTCCTCCTCCCCCCTTCCCCCTGCCCTCCTTCCCCTCATCCCTCCTCTCCCCCTCCAGCCCCTCCCTCCCCTCCTCTCCCCTCCTTCCCATCCTAAACTAAAACTATATATATCTTTTAACTAAAACTAACCTTTCATATTTGACAAATTAAGGCCCACTGAGCTATTTAACTCTTTTTTTCCGAAGCGGCCTGGCCACAAATGATAGCTGAACGGAGCGGCTTATCGCGTGCAAATTCACAGCAGCCAAATGCTCTAGACGTGTGTTGTTGATTCCACGTGATTACAGAGAGAGAGACACGCAAACTCCAAATTTACAGCAGGCGTCAGGGTCGGGATTGATCCCACGACCTCCTGTATACCAAGCGAGGTAGTTAACATTGTTCAGCACACTTGGTGTACATGCGCGCGTGTGTCAAGTGTGTCGCTGCATTGATTGAAATGTAGGTTTGTGGGTCTACTGAATGTCGGGAGTGGTGGCGCAGTGGTTAGCACACAGAGGCTACGAACCCAGCGACCTAAGTTCCGTTCACGGCCACGGCTAATATCAGGGCCAAGAATCAGAACCTGTCCTGGGCCTCCTTTACGTCGACTCAGCCTTAAATGAGTAAACATCAGCACTGGTGGTGACAAAGGCGACCGGGCGTGGTGCTGGCTACCAACCCGCTACGTGTGCCATAGTGCCGGCCTTCATAGGTGCTCGCTGACAGCACTTGCCCCGACAGTCTTTTGAGGCTACACGGGGGATCTTTGTCTTGTACTGTACGTGCCGGTGTTGTTGCAGCTCCTAGCCGCGCGGACCTCGGGCCGCCCCCCACGTCACGACCCCAACAAGGGGGTCCTGGTGCCCAGGCCCCCCCCGCGAGGGACTCCCCCTACCACACACCCTCGGGAGACCCCGGTAAGGAACCTCCACACAGCGCTCACGTAATCAGCAACGGTATCATCATCATGGCCATCATCACCATCATCATCATCACTATCATCTTCTCCATCATCATCAAAAATCATCGTCACTATCATCATCACCGTCATCATCACTATCATCATCATCACCATTATCTTCTCTATCATCACCTCCATCATCACCACCGTCATCATCACCATCGTCATCACTATCATCGTCACCATCATCTTCTACCCCATCATCATATCCTTCGTCATCACCATCGTCATCGTCGTAACATCATTTTGAAACTACTCAAATATGACACCCGCGTATGATTCCTTTTCCAATCCACTGCTAGATGAGCCCCGCCCCCACGCAGTGCGGGTGGTCGTGGAGATTATTTGACCATACTTCACCATCCTGGTGAATACGTGTGTGTGTATATATGGTATATATATACACACACACACCTACATGGAGACACGAGTGGCAGTTCACGAGCAGGAGGGAGATGGATCGTGAGCAATGATGACGACGTGGGGCAGCTTTCATCCAGCAGTTGATAGACAATGGCTGATGATGGTGGGATGATGGTGACGATGATACAGAGACAGAGAGAGAGCAGAAGAGAGAGGAAGGGAGAGGAAGGGAGAGGGGATAATCACGCAGTGGCTTTACCCAACAATCCACCGGGTCACATGACCCCACGCGCCACGTGACCCCGCGTGACCACACGCGCGTCAATTAGGAGTGGACGGGTAATTGATGATGTGCCGAGGACAAAAATAATGAATGAATGTGAGAAAGAGACGAATATCCCCCGTCGAGCCAACGTGGGCTGAGTCGGTAGCGCTGTCAGCGAGCGCCTATTAAAGGGTGCGGTGATTGGCCTGATGGTTGACTGACTTCACGAGAGAGCAGACAAATGCACGGACACGCAGACGCACGAAGAGGCTGCATATACAGGGCAAGCAAAGACAAAGAGGTTAGCGCTACTAACCAGGGCTTCGACCCGAGTTCGATTCCCGCTCACGGCCAACGGCAGTGGCGATTATCTGAAGCGGTTCTGGTCCTCCCCTAGGTCGACTCAGCCACAAATGAGTACCTGGTGTGGTGTGTAAACGTCGCCACTGGGGTGGCAAAGGCGGTCGGGCGTGGTGTTAACCACCCAACCCGCTCGTGTGCCGTGCCGGCCTTGATAGGTGGTCGCTTTGCAGCACTTGTCCCGAAAGTCTGTGGAGGCTATGCGGGGGCGGGTCTTTGCCTGTGTCTGCAGTGAACCACCCTCTCGTCCAATCACCCAGTCCCCCGCACCTCGACACAACCTTCCCACCTGCTGTGTGAATGCCTCATTGCCCCCCCGCCCCTATCCGCACCCCCACCCTTACCCCCCTCCACCCCACCCCTAGGTGTCGCACAGAGGCCCGGGCAGGTGAGCGCGCGGTACTCGGAGGCCAGGCCAGGTGAGGAGTGAACAATTAATAAATCACACCAATAATCGCGCGGTACGGTAATCGATTAATCGTACTCTCCGATTCGTATTCAGTCCCGTTGTGGGTCATGGATTCTCCGGAGGAGGGGAGGGAGGGGGGATGTTGATTGAAACATCGAATCGTGCGCCGTGAGTCGTGATCAGTCCTGCAAGTCGCGCGCGCAGCTTTGTGTAGGCTACCGAAGGTCACTTGCCCGCCTGATGACGCTCACAGCAGTTTGACCCGAAACGTCGTCGGCACGTCGTGCTGTTGTTTCATTTCAGTCTTGAAACGTCTCATCATGATGATGATTATGAGGGAGGAGCTTTACCGGGGAGACAAAGGCGGAGGGCGTAGGGGGCGTAGCGTTGGCCACATCGCCCCCTTCAGATTGGGTGACGCCGTGCCGGCCTTCATTAGATGCCCGCTTACGGCAACTTTGCTCCGACAGCGCGTGCAGGGCTACACGGGGGACCTTTCTGTACCGTACTTGGTGTCTGTGCGCGTGTCAGCGCATCTTCCGCACGTGCTGGTATCTCCGTGTATAACGGGGGGGGGGGAGGGAGGGAGTTGCGCCAATTACCGCGAGAGGAGGCATCTTACGAGCAAAACAATCACCGACCCCGCATCCAAACATGGGAGCAAAAATAAAGCCACGTTGCGTGGGTGGAGGGGCGGGGGAGTCACACACCCCCACCAGTCCCCCCCCCCCTGCACCCCCAGTTGCATAACAGCTGATCCCCCGCGCATGCGCAAAACGTGTGTCTCTCCCAGAAACCTCAATAAAGAATTTCCCCATCACCACTCGAACCCCTACAGCCCGGCCGCTTAAAACAACAAAACTTAACGCAGCCGTAAAAAAAAAACACGGCGGCTCTAAGTGGGAGGGGTGTAAATGTGTGTTTTAAAATGTAAAATCTAAATTATAAAAACTATTTTGGGAGAGGAATCCGATGAGCTATAAAGCTCTTTTTTTCAAAGATGTGCAGTAGGGGGCACGGGTCAGAACGTAAGAACAACAAACGATACAAAAAACCGATATGAGCGCAAAGTATAGGAAAGGTAAACAAATAACTTAAAAATATATAGATAAAACTAAATAATAATATATATTTTTTCATCTTACTAGGTAAATACCGCTGAGCTATTAGCTAATTTTCCTGCAGCAACCTGGCCACAAATGATAGCCAAACGAAGTGGCTCATCGCGTGGGAATGTATAGCAGCAAATTAGGACTGGCGACGTTTCAGACAATGACCCTTCTACACAGCACATGCGAATATCTACTTTAACAAAGCAACGAAGCTAATCGACACGCGTGTGAAGAAGCCTCGGTAATTATTATTATTTAAAAACATTGTAAAGTTACGGTTAAGCGTGCAGGTGTTATCGCTCCCACGTGACTAAACAATACGACTCGAACGCTATCACGACAGTCATTCAATCGCACGCATGTCGTACGCAATGGGGTCACGTGTCCCCTGCAGCCACTAGAGGCCGCTACGCCAACCACGTAGTTAACAACACCGGTTTCCCCTCGCTTTATACGGATGCAGTCTGTGCGACTTCGCGACGTATATGCGGATCACCTATTTCTCCCCCAAAATTCGCTACATGCGGTTTGAATTCACTCGACGTGCGGCGGCTACGCGAGCGGACGTGTGCCAACGTTGTGAAGTGTGTGTGTGTACTGTGTGCGCTGCTGGATAGGCAGCTGTCTCATGCGGTGCATTGTGGGGTGGGTGACTGTGCAGTCCACGCTAAACGATTTTGCTTTGTTAGGCCCCCTCCTACTACCGCATAAAGCGAGGGAAACCCCGTAGTTAAATATCGAGTTGCCTTGCCGAGATGGGAACCCTAATCAGATCTCCAACGTTCAACCCCAACATGAATGGAGTTCACTATTTGTTGAGCGGGCTGCTCTTTATCCACACCCCGAGTATCAACATCATCATCACCGCCATCATCATCGCCATCATCAGCAGCAGCCATGGTCAATCCACTGCTGGATGAAGGCCTCCCTGAGCCGTTGCTATCTCTCTCACACGATCCCGCGATGTTAACGATCCACCTTTGTACCTGCTAAGGTTCTAAAGTTAATTCCATTCCTTTTGGCTGACACCAAAAATGTATATATTTAGTATCTCGAAAACAGTAGTTACTTCCGTCCATATATCATAAATTGATCATTCACAAATAATTAATCGATGCCTCGAATGTGCTGGCTGGCTGGTGACTGGGCTCATCTCCAGCCCAACAATACTCGATTGTTAGCGGCTATGGGCGAGCCCTCGCCACCGAAACTAGCTGGGTAACTGACTACACGGGATTTTCCACGTAACATATAGAACGTCTTTCGCGCACCGTACGTAGCCAACCGTGCTAATTAGAAACGGCAGAGGCAATTCGTTTAGATATAATAATAGATAATGACACACGAAGAGGTGGGAATAACGAAGAGAGAAGTGACCACGGTTAATTTGAAATCGCTATAACTTTTCAAGTCCGTCGCTAGAATATTATGTTAATGATAGAGGCATATACAACTCTTTCTTCCATTAGCAGATTACTTTTAGCTCTCCGAGAACATGGGGGGAAATTTGTGAGATGAGCATGAAAATGACAGCCGTTTTTATATTTTCCGTTGCAGAGAAACGCTTTTCTCTACTCATACAGATACACAAATATATATATATATAAAAATACGGATACTGTACCTCCTGCACTCATGCACACTGCGTCGTGTCCCCCTTTTCTCAAAAGAATCACAATGGGATGCATCCTGATTGCCTCTCACCTGGTTAAATTAAAGGAACGATCGATCAGGCAATTAGGAGAAATTTGACAGACGGCGCTAATCAGCCCTGACGACGCGCCGGCGCTAATTGCGACTAAACCCGACTCATCCCGGTCACGCGCGACACCACCCCCCCCCCCATGGCAGGGGGAGGGGCGGGGGGGGCAGGGGGAGCAGGGGGGGCAACTAGAAGGGAGCAGATGGTGAGTCATGGGAGGCTCTGGTGGGCGGGAGGAACAGGGGAGCGTCTCGGTCTGCTCGCGAGGAGGTCGTCGGATCGGGGATGTTACTGTGCGTGAGGGGGTTAGGAGGGAGCAGAGAAGGAGGGAAGCAGGGGGAGCCATGGGAGAGGGTTGGGGGGTGGGGAGGGGTTAAGGGGGGGGAGGTATGGACAGCCGAGAAGGGCGGGAGTGACAGGTGGAGCCCGCGGGATTTGCTGTGCAGTGCAGGAGCTGTCCGTGGTGCTGTGAAGTGCAGGAGCTGTCCCTGGTGCTGAACACGGGCCAGCTACTGCTGCTTCCACGGTCGCCGATGCGAGCTTGAAGGCAGCCGCCACGCACGCACCGGGCAGACAATGCCCATGCAGGACCCTGCTGACGAAGGGGCTCGAGACTCGGGCTTTGCTGTCTGGATTAATGACCGTAATTAATTTTTGTTGTTAATGCAAAGCCCGCGATGCTATCGCTTTAAACAAGAGCCCAGAGCAGACTGCTTTAACGTCAGAGATGGCTGCGTGGTGAATTCCTAAGCGATAGCGCTGTGGACTGCCTGCCCCCCCCCCCACCCTCTCACTCCCACTGCTTCCCGCGTGGTTCAGGACCCCCCCACACTCCCATACCAGGCGCCGCCTCGGACCTGCGTTAATGAGACCATTAACGCCACGCTAGCACGGTGTTTTGGGTTTTTTATTTAACGAGATTCGGAATCACTCCTCGGCTCGCTCGGACCCCGCGCCGCTGGGCACGCGAGAGGAAGAGAGGGAGGCGCGCGCTTAATGATGGGCGACTCCTCACGCTCGAGGCCAGCTCCCTTGTTCCCTTCCCTCCCTCCCCTCACCTCTCTCCCTCCCTTCTCTCCCCTGTCTCTGCTTCCACCTCCGCAATCCACGCACGCGCTCTGCTCGCCGTTCCCTCCCTTCTTTCCCCCACCTCCAAATGTATCTATCCACTTCGCCATTTGGCCCTCCCCACGCGGATAGCTCCCTCGCCCTCTACCTCCCTCCCTCCCTCCTTCACTTTCTACTTCCCTCTTTCCTTGCCGCTCTCATTTCCTCTCTCATTCGCTCTCTCATTCGCTCTGTCATTCCCTCTCTCCCCGCCCTCTCATTCCCTCTCTCTACATCCTACACTCTCTCTCCACGCCCCCTAGCCCCACGCACGCCCTCCCCTACACGTGTTTTAAACGTTACATCCCTTTTTTTGTACAATCACCGCAAAAACAACGACCTCCCCCGTTCACTCCTTGCGGATTCGTGGTGGGAGGAGGGGGGTGGGGGAGGGTTATACGACCATACCTCACCACGCAGGTCTGCTGTGCGGAGTTGGGTGAGGTTCTCTCATCCATCCATCCATCACACAATCCATTAACAATCCGGGCTCTCAACCCTATTTGGCTGCGAGCCCCTTGACTACAGCGAGCGCTTCCCCGAGCGAGTGAGTCACAGGCGTCTAGAAATATCCCCCGGTTCACTCCCGGGGGTTCGGGCAACACTCCCCCCCCCCCCCTCCGGGATTTGGGATTAAACTCCGGATGCGAAAGATAGTGACGCCACAAGGAGCCTAAGGAAGGGGGAGTGGGGACGGTGGGGGGGATTGGGGGGAGGGAGGTGGGGTACGGTGGGGTACGGGGGGGAGGGGGATATGTGGGGGAGGTATGGACGAATGTGAGTGACATTTATTCGTTCATTTACGCCGACAACATTGATGCCATTACAACGACAAAACACACACAGACACACACACACAGACACACACACACAGACACACACACACAGACACACACACACAGACACACAGACACACACAGACACACAGACACACACAGACACACAGACACACACAGACACACACACACAGACACACACACAGACACACACACACAGACACACACACAGACACACACACAGACACACACAGACACACACACAGACACATACACAGACACACACACAGACACACAAACACAGACACAGACA